GAAAAATAAAACTAGTCATTGGAGAGTTTTATTTAAACCACGGGCTATACCAGAAGGAGGCATGATATTCTCCCATGTCCTAAAGATAGCAATGTCCCCTAGCTACTATTCTTTCCCAAATAATAGCAGGACTCATCATTACTCAGTTCTAGCACTGTATGGCTTAAAAATTAATTTACAATGCATTAGACGAATGATCTTGAAARTGTATACTTGCTTAACTTTTCTGTTTTCTTTTTTTCTCATCTGGAATACTTTTATGATTTTAAGAGGAATTTTATGAAACCTAGATACCAAAACATATTTTATACAAATGTAGGAGRTTAGTATTAATAGTAGAAATGTGAACATGGTCATCAGCTTATAACTACAACTAGTCCCTGTGGATCTACGTGGTCCTTGAGCACAGAAATGCTGTTGTATTTGCATTTGTATCCTAAGCACTGGATCTAAGACCTGATATAATAAATCAGATTTAATTTTTTTTTATTGGTGCATAGTACTTATAGAGAATGTTGGGGTTTCACTGTGACATATTCATAGATATGTAAAAGTCTCTTTTGAATTACTTTGAAGTAAGCAGGGGAGATGCTGTTATCATCATTTTGCAGACTTGAAATTAAGACCCAAAGTGCTACAATAGTTTAGTCTGTAAGTTCGTGATTTCACGAATACAATTTTTGAATACTTGGAAGACTAGAACTCTGAYTCTACCTAATATCAAAGTTAGGGTTTCTCAAAGTATGCATGGGATTTTCTGTTACAGACTGACTTCTGAAGATGCTAATTAAAAATAGAAAATCAAATCTCACATGTAATGTTGAAGAAAGCATCCAAGTATGGAAGCAAGCCAAAAAATCAGAAATAGAAGAGGAAACATAATATCAATTTTTATAGAAATAAAAAGGATTATAAGCAAGTGCTGTGAACAACTATATGCTACCAAATTGGATAACTTAGATGAGACTGACAAATTCCTAGAAGTACACAATCTAGTATGACCGAAACCTGAAGGAAAAAAAAAAAGTCTGAAAAGACCTGTAAAACTAGAAAGGATACTGAATCAGTAGTCAAAAACTTCCCCAAAAAGAAAATCTAGGGGCCAGATCCCTTCACTCATTCTGTGAGGCCAGCATTACCCTGATAACATAGTCTAGAAAGATACTACAAGAAAAGAAAACTATAGACCAGTGTTCCATATGACTATTGATATAAAAATCCTCAACAAAATACTGGCAGACAGAATCAGTAACATATTAAAAGAATTGTACGCCATGATTAAGTAGGATTTACTCTTAGAATGCAAGAATGGTTCAATATGTAAAGATCAACCCATGTAATACGTAACATTATGAGAAGGAAGTGGGGGAAATCACATTGTTACGTTATCTTCTCACTGATGCAGAAAACTCATTTGACAGGATCCCATACCTTTCAGTATAAAAATACTCAACACATTAGGAATAGAAAAAAATGTTCCTCAACATAATAAATGCCATATATGAAAATCCCACAGACAATGTCAGACTCATCGGAGAAAGATCAAAAGTATTTCTTCTGAGACAAGGAACAAGACTACTAAATCCACTTTCTCCTTTTCTATTCAACATAGTGTAGAAATCATAGCCAACACAATTAGACAAGGAAAAGGAATAAAAGCCATGTGAATTAGAAAGGAGGAAGCAAAATTATCCATGTTCACAGGTGGCATGATTGTATTTGAAGAAACCTCATAGATTCCACACAAAAGTTAGAGCTGAGAAATGAATTAGCAAAGTTGCAGGATATAAAATCACTACATAAAAACAGTTGCATTTCTATACACTAACAATGAACAATATGAGAAGGAAATTAAGAAAACAATTTCATTATTGTAACATCAAAAACAATAAAATATTTAGGAATAAACCTAAGAAGTTAAAAGACCTGTACACTGAGAACTACAAAGCATTGCTAAAAGAAATTAAAGACAAATAAATGGGAAGACGTTTCATGTTCATGAGTTAGAAGACTTAATATTTTAAGATGCCAGTATTACCCAAACAGAATTCCAGCAATGATTTTTTTTTTTTGACAGAAATAGAAAAACCACAGTCCTGGTGTCTGAGTGATTCCCAGGGCCCAGCAAAGGGACCAATTTCCAGAGCCCAGGGGTAACACACCAAAATAAGGACTCCTTTTCCACTCCACCTTCATTGGCCCAGCAGCTGCCGGGAACAAAGGCTGTATCTCCTTACCTGGAAAACAAATGCAGTATCACCTCACAGATCGAGTGTTTCTCTATGTTCCCATGAGTGTATTGGGGGAGAAGCTTCAAGGACAAGTGGAGGAGCAGCGCTGTCCTTCTGTGAGACTGGAGAGATTCCACGGAAGAATCTGGACGTCATGAAGAAAGCAGTGGTTCAGGCAGGAAACTGGAGAAACAGGAGGAGAAGCGCTTAAAGAAAAATAAATAGAAAAACCAATTATAAAATGCATATTACAGCTCAAGTTATCTAGAAATAACCAAAACAATCTTGAAAAGAAGAACAAGGTTGGAGGTCTCACAKTTCCTGATATCAAAACTATATTACTACAAATCTATAGTAATCAAAATAGTCCAAGCATAAGGAGAGACATATAAACCAATAACATAGAATAGAAATCCCAGAAATAAACCCTTGTATATGTGATAGAGTGATTTTCAACAAGGGTACAAAAACTGTTCAATGCGGAAAGGACAGTCTTCAACAAATGGAGCTTCAACAACTGTATCCATGTGCAAAATAATGAAGTTACCTTATACCACATTATGGTTTAGATATGAGGCATCCCCAAAAAACTCATGTGTGAGAAAATGCAAGAAAGTTTAGAGGTGAAATGAATAGGTTGTGAGAGCCTTAATCTGATCAGTGTATTAATCCAATGATAATAATTAGTGGTCAGTAATGCAGGCAGGTGGGGCGTGGTTGGAGAAGTGTATCATTGGGGAAGTGCCCTTAGGGCTTTATCTTGTCCCTGATGAGCAGAGCTCTCTCTGCTTCCTGGTTGCCATGTCTAGAATTGCTCTTCTCCTCCATGCCCTCTACCTGATGTTTTGCTTCACCTGGGGCCCAGAGCAATGGAGTCAGCTATTTAAGGACTGAGACCTCAGAAACCGTGAGCCAAAGTCAACTTTTCCTCCTCTACATTGTTTTTGTGAGGTCTTTTGGTCACAGCAACAACAACAACACAAAAAAAAAAACAAACTGACTAAAACACACTGTTACACGGATTAACCCAAAATGAATCAAAAGAACTGACACCATAAATCTCTTAGATGAAAACAGATGGTAAAAGTTTCATGACCCTGGATTTCTCAATGATTTTTGGATATATTACCAACAACAGCACAGACAACAAAAGGCCACATCAAAATTTAAAACTTTTACGCATCTAAGAACAACAGAGCAGAAAGGTAACCCACAGAATGGGAGAAAATATTTATAAATCATATATTTGATCAGAAATCAGTACCCACAATATTAAAGAATTTTTACAATTCAACAATAATAATAATTCAAAGAAAAAAATTTAAAAACGTTCCAAGGATTTGAATAGACATTTCTCCAAAGAAGATAAAACGAATGTCCAGTAAGCAGGAGAAAAGATGTTCAACATCAAGCTTCTGGGGGGAGACAGAATGTTGCAGCCAACGTGGGAAATAGTATGGGAGTTCCCCAGAATGATAAAAATAGAATTATCATATCCTCTAGCAACTCCACTTCCAGGCACATACCCAAAAGAATTGACATTGGGGACTTAAACAGGTGTTCGTACACCCATGTTCTTAGTTGCATTCTTCACCATAGCCAAAAGAGGGAACCAGCCCACGTGTCCACCAGCGGATGAATGGAAAGACAGAGCTTGGCAAGTTCACACAATGGGATATCGTTCATCCCCAGGAAGGAATGACATCCTGAGACATACTACAGCATGGGTGAGCATCAGARACATTAAGTGGAGTAAACCTGTCACAAAGAGGACACAGATGCTACATACTTCCACTTTTATAAGCCATACAGAGTAGTCAAATTCATAGAGACAGGAGGTAGAATTAGGATGAGAGGAGGAGTGAATTGAAGATGAAAAGTATATACTATATTATTTCATTAAGATGCAAAAATTAATTTATRGTGCTAGATGTCAGGATATCAGTTACCTTGGCAGAGGTGAATAAGAAGAAAGAAGTTTTGAAGAAAGAAGCTTTTTCTGGGGTGCTGGTGAGGTTCATTTCTGGATCTGGGTGCTGTGACACAGATATGTACCATCAATGGAACTCTTTGAGCCGTACAGTTACAGTTTGTATGTTTTTCTGTATAAATGATATACTTTTTAAATATCCCCAAATAATCATGGACCCCGCCCAAGCAGGGCTCCAGAATCAGAATGTCTGAGGGTGGGACCTGGGCACCTGGCATTTTAAAAACCCTCTTCCAGGTTTTTCTTAAGAACATTGGACTTTGAAAATCTTTGCTCTAGTCAGGGTGTTGGTAAGTATCTTTCCAATGCTCAATAATTCTTTGACACTCCCCTTATAACAAATATCCCTTAGAAAAAGAAATTGATGATTTCTTTRAGTCCTTTACCTTCTCCTCCTGGGAAAGTGCATGCCGCCTTTCAGGTGCTGAGAAAAAGAACTCAGAAAGCAATGGCAGGTAGAAATGTATAGTTTTACATTTTCCCTGTAAAATACTCTCGTGTGGCAATACTATAATGTATCAATATTTATCTGGAAGAGTCAAAAACAATTTTATTGAGACCCTCTAAAAGTATGGCAGGTGCTAGGACCTGGTGGCATCAGGCAACTTCAGGTGGAGATGAGACTTCCCTTGGGGAGGCGTGGTGCTGTGSAGCAGGTCTGAAAAGCCAGTTCTCCCACACCTGAGCTACCTGCGCTCCACCCCTGCTCTCCCTATACTGTCTCCCAGGTAGAGGAGATAAAAGCTGCTGAAATTTTTACACTTTTGCTTGTTGAAAGCATGTTTCTTGCAAAGGCCTTGTTGGAAGGGGCCGATCGAGGTCTTGGAGAAGCTCTTGGAGGTCTCATTGGAGGAGGTGTCCAGAGAAGAGGAGGAGGAGGAGGAGGAGGAGGAAGCCTTGGCGGGATCGTGGGGGGCATTGTGAACCTGATCAGCGAGGCTGCTGCCGCTCAGTATACCCCGGAGCCGCCGCCGCCCGCCCAGCAGCACTTCACCACCGTGGAAGCCTCGGAGAGCGAGGAGGTGAGGCGTTTTCGGCACCAGTTTGCGCAGCTGGCTGGACCCGACATGGAGGTGGGTGCCACTGACCTGATGAACATTCTCAACAAAGTCCTGGCTAAGCACAAGTATCTGAACACCGCCAGATTTAGCCTGGACACCTGCCGCAGCATCGTGTCTGTCATGGACAGCGACACCACGGGGAAGCTGGGCTTCGAGGAGTTCAAGTATCTGTGGAACAACATCAAGAAGTGGCAGTGCGTCTACCTGCAGTACGTCAGGGACGGTTCCGGGTCTCTGGGGAGCTCCCAGCTGCGGGAAGCTCTGCAGGCAGCGGGCTTCCAGCTGAACGAACAGCTTTACCAGATGATCGTCCACCGGTACGTCGACGAGGACGGGGGCATGGACTTCAACGACTTCATCTGCTGCCTGGTCCGCCTGGACGCCATGTTCCGTGCCTTCAAGTCCCTGGACAGAGATGCAGATGGCCTGATTCAGGTGTCCATCCAAGAATGGCTGCAGCTGACCATGTATTCCTGAAGTGGGCAGAGAAGCCAGGAGGCTCCCTGAAGGACAGGACTGCTGAAGGTCCTGCCACTCTGTCCACGCTTGCWGTGACCCTGCCCAACAGCTGTCACTTCTGGAGGAGCCCTCTCAGGAGCCCTGCGCATTTCTGATAATGGGCTACCCTTAGCTCCTTAATTAAAATAGATTTTTTTTTTTTATGAAAACTGCTCAGTGGTTTGTATATCAGCCCGGGAGATAGCAGGTGATCGTAGATGTATGTAGGTAGTGGGGAGGTAGTGGGGGGAGTTCTAGTGGAGTGGAATTTAAGGCGTGGTTGCTTATTGGGCGAATGAATTCCAGCCATTTGGAACTTTGTCCTTGTTGTGACTGTTGTTAATAATGAAATTCTTTTTAATCCTGAAATAAATTAACAGAGCACTCCAGAGGTATATTTTCTTTTAAAAATGGAAGGAGAGAAGTTTAAAATCTGTTTTTCTCATAATTTCACATCTGGTCTTTTCATTATGTACAAAAATAAAAGGTACTTTCCAGGAACCCTATTTAATTGTATAGAAACAGGTTCAGAAATGTGAAATTAAGGGATTTTATGTAAGGTAGATTTTTTTTTTACATGATGCTAAAATTCTAGAATTCTTTAGTTCTATTTTCTAGTAAAAGAAACAGAGCAATTTAGGGTTATTTTAATATATATTTTTTTAAAAAGTCGTGGGCATTGAGGAATAAAAGGATATGCCCATGGTTCAAAAATGTCTTCAGTTGCCTTAATGAATCAAAATGATCACTCTTAAATGTACATCATGCAAAGTTAGGCGTGCCTGGTTGATCTTAGACAGTGCTTGTCATGTCTTGCCTTACCTTAGAGCAAGGAAAATTCTTTTGCTTATCTTAAAACTGTAGGCAGGGGGAAAAAACTAACAAAGAAAACAAATAGTAATTAGCTAAATGGAATATGAAGCAATATAGAGAACAAATGTTGCAGTAGTTCTCAGCCCTGGCTGAAATATAGATTCATCAAGAGAGGTCTTTAGGAATACTAATGCCTGAGCCCCACTCCAAATACCTTAAAGTAGTCTCTTTAGAGGTGGGGCGTGCAGATAGATATTCTGAAAGCCCCCCTGGGGATTCTGAGGAGCAGCTAAGATTGACAGCCCTAACTGCTACTTGTAGTATGCTGTCTCCTGTAGTTTTCAAATCTTTCTCAGCCAAAACAGGCCAAMCAGGAAAGTCAGTGTTGCCTACGTCCAGGAGAAGGAAGATAGGATGCTGACAAACTGCCACCYAGGAGGTGAGATAATTGTGCCTTTCTTGAGCATGACCCTTAGTTTGGTTTTATAACTTTGAYACAGGCTGTTAGAGTGGAGAATGCAGAATCCAGGATCCCCTGGTGAGCCTGCTCAGCAAGAGAGCCTGCATTAGCAAGTGCTCAGCTCCCCTGGCTGCTGTTGAATGGGTTCCCATCCCTTCTGCTGCTCTGTTTTTTAATGCATYCCCTCTATCCCAGGCTTCTTCGCAGGGTCCTCCTGAGTCGGAAAATAAATTCTTCTTTCCTCTTTTGACTCATTCAGAAGAAAGTTGTAACTGTTGCARTGATGTAACTGGCCTATTAGAAATCCCCAGAGAAATTGAGAGAGATTGGCSTTGGGCCTGGGTGCTCACCATCATCACCATCATTTAATATTTATGAAACACCACACACATGTAATTTTGAGCTGAGCCAAGCACAAAGAGCACGTCCACTTTCCTCAAGGGACTTATAACTCAACTTGGTCTGGTAAGCTACTCAGACCAGGTGTGGTTATATAAGCAYGAAGCTGCTGCCAGCAACCACACATTAATATTCAAGAAGAAGCCAGGAATATGTCAGGTCTGGAGCWGCCAGGAAAGGAAAAGGCTGCCAAGATGTCTTCTAAGGACTCAAAATATTTCAAGTTTTTAATTGAATTTTCCCACATGATGATTGTGGGAAGGACAATGTGTMGTTAAATTTTTGCTTCAAACATCATTGTAACTGCTTTATTAAAAGGTAARACAATCATCTCACATTAGTGGTGGTGTTATTTCCCCTCTTCCTCAAGTTGAGGGATTGCCTATGATTCTCCAGCATGCAGATGAGAAAGCATCCTGAAGTAACCCCAGTGTATCTTCTGTTCTTTCTAAGTTTGGGTAAAATTTGTATAAATTTGTATGTAGTCACCAGCATGGCTRCTAAAAATTTCAGTCCAAACCTAAGTGATTGAATTTCTTAGTTTTCATTTAATCTTTTATGTTTTGGAGTAATATATTTTCAATGTTAGAAGAAGTATTAATTGACAGTGTTTTAAAAATTTGTCCATTTCTATATGGAAGACTACTATAGCCTAAGACGCAGGTCTTTGGGGTATTCCATTATTTTAAAATTTATAATATTAATCAATGTAGTAAATTGAAACTAGTGATAAAATAYGTGAAGTTGTACCATTTATACTTTCAATTTCAAAATATCCCTTGTGATTTTGAAAACAATAACTTSGTCTTGATGTAATCCACTAAATTCTTCAACCCCATAAAGCAGGGAAAGGGTCAGGGAGCTTTGTGGTTAAGAGCCGMAAACTTTCAAAAACATTTAAATTTCCTACGTCATCCTCAAGGTCACTTTTTAAATATTTTTGAGGAGCACTGCCTGTGTTTTGGAAAGCTGACTAACAAAGCAATCTCAGTCAGAAATCTTATCAGTATTGCACAAATACTCAGAATGAGGACGTAAAAAATATTTGTGGAAGCAACTGCAAGGTACTGATGTTAATGTGTATTGAYCTTGAAGAACTTCCAGAATTACTTTTTAAAAGTGTTTTGCTTTAGTGCTAAGTAAATAAAAAATATTTAATTTCAAGAAAATTGGTGACACACTTATCTGTGTGGTAGAAACAGACTCAATCCCAGTAAACAGACTTCTCTTCTCTGATTCTTTGGATAACTGAGAATTTACTGTATTTTAATGATACCATTCCTTTGAATTGTAGTTTACCTTCAGCAACTTGAAGACTTTTGTTGGCTGCTGGCTAGTAAAATCTGTTTTATATAAACATTTAAACTTACTTTGAGAACATTGATTATTTCTATATGCAGACACAATTTTATATCAGTTATAAAAACACAATAAAAAGAAAATAGTCCCCATTCTTTGGAGGTTTTCATTGCCAAATGTAYACCAAACATAGCCTTAAATATTGCTAGACTTAAAAAGTTATAAAGATTATCTTATCCCAAATGAATAAAAACGTTGAATAAGTCCAACTGTGAAATAACGTTAGAGAATTGAAACTTGAGAATCAGGCCATTTACTCCTTGAATGGGYGGTAAATGAACAAGCAGCCTAGAACCTTCCTCTGGCTCTGGAAGCTAAGCAGATAGAAGGAGCTGGGYGGCAAGGGGCTCACAGTGACACACRGGCATTTCTGATCTGATCTTGTTGACCTGAAGGAAGGGGATGAGGCCCACATCCTGGAGCTTTGTCACACATCTTTTTGCAATGACTCAAAGTAACTCCTTGGTTCCAACTCTGCGTTGTACCTGAGCCACAGGTTGGGACAAATTATAGATGGGTTAGGGACTGCCTCCAAATAGCTGGTCTCTTTCTTTGAAATATGGCCCTGAAAGATTTTCAAGTCTAGATGTTTTTATTAAGTTTATAATTCTTCCCAGGGAACTTGGTAAGTATTTAAAAGACAGAGCCATAGATTTATGAATTAATTTGTGTCATGAAACTGATTCATAAGTATAAAAATCAGTATATGTTGCTATTAATTTTTTATCTGTTTTTAAATRTATTTTATCAAGCCACTTGCTTTATTTTGAATGACTGGCATTCAGACTACCTAAATTATAGTTGCAGTTAGAGCAATAGTGAGTTTTGTAACCTGAAGAGAAATATATATCTCAGGGKTTTTTTTATTAGTAAAAATGAAGAAATTGGATGATTTGTAAGATTCCTTCCAGTTCCAAATTTTATAGTGAATTCAGAACCTTTGCAATGTATTATTTTATTAATACAGTAAGATAATCCCTTAGAATAATTTACATGCTTGTTTTTTTTTTTCCCTGAACATTACTAGAAAGAAAACTTCCATAGACTTTTTAATGTGACTAAGTCAAGGGTCTACCTTAATATAATTTTGTCAGTCAAAACTACTCATAAATAAGAGACTGWTAGTGAAAATTAAGGGTCTAGAATTTTACCTTGTTCTGTGACTCATGGTAATAGCGAGGACCTATTATTGTTCCCCTTCTCCCTCACAGAGTGAGTTCCTATTCTTGACCTCTGTTATGCATMAGGTTTGGGAGTGTGGGTAAAATTTAGATATCTCACAAGAGAGGTACAAAGTAAATTCAAAGGAGTATTTCCAATCCTGCAGGCAATCTGTTATTGTAATTTAATCGTTCATACATCATTTTTAGATCTATTCTTCAGAACTTCTAGGTAAGACTTCTGTTTTGATTAGTGGGAAGAGCCACTGAAAGCTTTCAGCTATATGGCTATGACTCGGTCAGCCCCTCAATCTCTAAACTCCTTAAAAACAGCCCTCCATGGTGCAYGGAAAAAATTGAAGGGTGGTGGCCCTAGAAGGAAATTATGTTCCCTAGAACCACCTCCTGAAACTTCACAGGCGATGTAATGTTAGTATTGATTGGTGGCTGCCAGGGGGCACCATGTGTCAATCAGAGGACCCACATAAAATGGATGCATTTTACTGAATGTAAAAGATACCTCAATAAACTTGATTAAAGAAAAGAAAAAAAAAAGACAGCTCCCTACTTGTCTACCTTCCAGACAAATATGGCAGTCACATGACCCGAGTTTTCATCTTGGGAATAAACCCTGTTACTTTAGGGAAATCTTGAAACCTCTGTTTCTATCTTCTCTAGTAGGAAAGTGAAATTAAATTATCATTCCTTTTCGTTTCCACCCTGCAGTAAGATAAAGCAATATGGTGAAAGCAATTGTTGACATTTTGAGCCTTAGTTATTTTGAGAACCTTATGAAAGCTACCAGATTTTTCCCTAAGAAAAATGTACACACAGGGCTGTGGCTGGGGCTGGGGCTCAGTGGTAGTGCACTCACCTGGCACACGAGAGGCGCTGGGTTCGATCCTCAGCACCACATAAAAATAAAATAAAGGCATTGTGTCCACCTACAACTAAAAAAATACATATTTAAAAAACATGTGCATACACCTTTTCAGATGCTCCTCATCTTCCTCCTTTCCCAAGTTCATTAATGAAACCCCGRTGAAGAATGCTTGCCATACGTTTTAAAGTGAAGTTCTGAGCTCAGAGTGGTAGGTAAGGACAGATGAGAAAAAAGTAATTTTTTTTTTTTTAAATTTTAGCAACTGTCTGTGTGCTAGGCAATGGAAATACACTGCCACACAAAGAACACAGTCCTTGCCATTAAGGAGCTCTTGATTGAAGCGCAGATACYTAGTCACAGTCCAACATCACCTTCTTGTCATTGCCAAACATCATTTATTAACCTACCAAATGCAGTATGGCTCTAGCCCTGTTGTTACTGGCTCACAGTGTTTCTGAGAATTTATTACTTAAAGGTTTTGCTGCCAAAATGATTCTAATACCTGGAAACATAATCCCTGCACTTGTTGAAGGGTTCTTTCTCTCTCCCCTCTTCTCGCTCCCTCTCTCTAGGTTTCTCTCTTGCTCATTTTCCCTTTCTCTCTTAGCCCTCTTCCTTCTCCAGTCCCTCTCCAGTCTGTCCTCCCTCGGTTTCTGCCTCATCCCTCYTTTCTTTGTCTTTGTCTTGAGCTTTCTCTTCTGTCCTCACCCTCTCCGAGTTCCTGTCYAGGTGAAAGTGTAAGGAAGACTGTGTGTTCACACAGTCTGGAATAGAATGAGCAATTCTTTTATGTTGCTATCATGAGCTGCCCTCCGGGGTGTATCATTACTAGTTACAGCTCATTTKTATTGGCTTGGAAACACAGGATCTTCTGGGACCTAATTCTCCCAAGGGGCTATTGAACCGTGTCTTCCAGTTTGCCCAAGTTTGTTCCAGTTGCTGATGGTTTACTGCAAATTAAAGCAGAAGGAGAGGAAGAATATAGCCTCTACTCAGGCCTCGTTTACCTTTTCCTTCCCTTCCCATTTTCTYGATGTGGCAGATTGCTCAGTAACCCATAACACCCTTTGGTGACCCTTTGGTGCTGGCCATCCTGAAAGTGGCACCTGTAATGGTGAAATTAATGCTTTGTTCGCACTAAGAGTGGCAGTCCTAGACCTTGCCTCCACAGGGATCCYGTCAAGGTGAGACTGAGCTGGGAACCCACACTGGATGCTGGAGGGCCACAGTAAATGGCCTCATTAATAAAATACTTATATTTATTGATAAATAGGAAATGCAATTTTCTTCTGAATTGGGAATGACGGGGCCATGTGCTTGTCATTCCACCCAAGTGGGCACTTTCCTCCAGACAGGCTCAGGGCACCATGATGATGTGTGGAATATTTCAATTTCACCGTGTGACGTGATTAGCAGTAATTCAACAGTGACCTGCCTAATCGATTTCCTCCGTCCTTTCACAGAACCAYGATGGCACCATCGACTTCAGAGAGTACGTGATTGGCCTGGCYGTCTTGTGTCACCCGGCCAACACAGAGGAGATCATCCAGGTGGCATTTAAGGTACTGTCAACCCCACTGATAGCACCTTGGTCAACAAGTGTTGACGCTAAGTGTATTATCTGAAAATCAGTGAATCTGTCCTGCRAGTTTATAGATCTACTGTGACATCTACAGGAGAATAATGTGATTAAGTCAGTTGCTCCTGAGAATAAAGAAAACACAAGTATTCATCCGTTTAAGCAAAAATGGAAGCAGCTAGGAAACAACATCTAGGTGGAAGAATGGGCGATTTAACAAATTAACTTTAAAGATTATTTCTTTTCTGCCTTTCCATTTTGAAGCCATCAAGTGAGGCTCATAAATACCATTTGTCACTAGTCATCCTGATTCACCATCTGGAAAATTCCAACCTGCCCTTATTTTCTCATTCTGTATGTCAGAAATATGTTAAGTGGCATCTGAGGTGGACTTCACATTGCTGTCGAGATGTCAGGTGGACACCCTCCTGAATCTCCACGTTCCCACCTTCCTGTCTTAGCACATTATTTTCATGGAGGCAAGGGATCTAACTGGGAGCAAATAAGTAAAATCCATGTCCCTGGCCCCCAGAAGGACTTGATGAAAGTATGAATCGTGGGGACCCAGACTTCATTTTCCACTCAGGAGTAGAAACGGAGAGGTGTGTTTCGTTGTGAGAGTGAAGGTGCTTCAKCTGTTTGTATTTGCACATGATGTTTCCTGCGGGTCCCAATCTCGTGTGATCCCCTCGTGAGTGAAGCACAGTCTCCGTCTCCCTCCTGGCTGGCCAAGCTGTGGGCATGGACACTCGCGCATGCTCTTTGCTTTTTGCTGTGGACCTTCTCTGACCATTTTCTGCTCTTCTCTTTCTATCTCTGAGAAGGCTGTCCCACGGTGACTCCTGGCAGGGCTGTGCCACCCAGAGCTCTTTCTCCTGTCTTGGAGGCCCCCAGGGAAAACCTCAGGAATTTCTTGTGCTCCATCATTGATAACAGCTTCCCTGAGCTTACTGTTTATCCTGTGCTGGTTTAAACTCAGTTAACTGCAAGGCCTATGACCAACCTAAGTGGTTGATTCTTAGCAGATGGTCATAAGGCAAGGGCCAGAACTTCAGAAAAAGTTTAAAACCTTCAGCTTTTACAGACTTATGCATCATCAAACCCTAACATTACACACATAACTAACTTATTCCAATCCAGAGAGTTCTGTTTCTGTTATGGGATTGTATGTGTAATTATAAGTCTAGCTGGGCAAAGAGTCACCTTTGGTTTACCAATGAAAGACCTGATAGAAAATTTGACCCTTAAGTACAGTAATTAYTGTTTTTAAAGAAGTCGTGAGAATTTTGTCCAGCCTAGACTTTGGTTTGGGGGTGGGGGAGGGAAGAAAGGAAGATTCAGAGCTATAGTTAGCTCTTTTTTCCAGTAAGGAGGGGTCATGCTTCACATTGTTTTTTTTTTTTTTTCTTTTTCTTTTTTTAACCTTCTTTAACCTTTGTTTTCAGGTGTGGTTGTTTGGGAGATGTTTTTACATACTCCTGTTTCTCGGTTAGCAGGATCCTTTTATGCATAAGACCCTTCCCCATTCCTCTCCTGGGCTGCCTCCGCAGTAACTACTGTCTTTTACCTTACTTCACCTTCACAGTGACCTTTAGAGATAAAATATTAGTGGAGTTTTTCGTGTGTGAGTGACAGAGAGACTGGCCGACACCACAGTGGCATTAGTTGTAGGGCCAGGGAGTGGACAAAGGGAGCTCAGAGCTGGGCACCAGCAACTATCCCTGCTGCGGGCCCTGGGGAACCCTCCCTTGGGCGCCCCCATAATTAAAGTGAACAAGCTGCAGCTCAGTTCATACTTCATCCTCCAGGGAGGGTCTGAATGGCCTTGGGCCACATGTTTGGTGGGAGAGTTGGGAGGTTTGGATGCAGAGTCCTGCAGGGTTCTGTACAGTGGTGGGGGGTTCCATTCCCCCAGAGGAAACCAGGGTGTCAGACTTTCCACCAGGGCACAGATCGCGGGTTTCCCATCAGTCTGGGAACTGGAGAGGGAGACGCTGGAGCCATGGTGAGGGAGGGACCTGGGGTAGGTGTGGGAGAGGCAGAGGAGGTGAAGGGAGCCTGCGCAGAAGGGAGGGCCACCATGTGGCAGGGCCGGGGCTGTGGAGAGAGGTTGTGGGGATTGCTCAGGAGTGGAAGGCTTTGAAGAAGCACCAGCGCTGATGAGGGGCGGTGCGGCCACTGCATCCCCCAGTTACCGTCCCAAGTCCAAAGTGCATAAGGACCTGGGCTCTTCAGGCCTGATTCACTTCTCACTTTCCAACCATCTCCTGCCTGGTCAAGAGCTGAGTGGTGGGAAATGACCTATAATCCAGTGCTTTCTGCTCTGGGGACAAGAAGTTATGCCCCCGCCCAATGTGTGTGAATGATTAAAACACTACTCGCTGTGAGCCTGTTGTTCTTTTATAATTTTCATACCATATTTTTTTCTGATTTTCTCTGGTTTTGATCTTATTTTTAACCAGAAGTAGAGACCTCCACAGCAGGAACTCTAGAYGTTAGCTGCCTGGATTTGAAGCCAGCTCTGCCACTTACAAGTTGTGTGACTTGAGCAAAGGTGCCTAAGTGTCTTGGGCTCCCACTCTCCCTTCTGTAAGCTGGGACTCACAGTGGCCCTCACGGAACGTGGACTGTGGCGGCCGGTTAAGAGCTAACACATGCACAGTGATCTGCAAACTTCTGGTCAGCACCTGTGAAGAGTCGGTGCTGGCCCCACTGAAGTCTTAGGAGACCTTGGGATGTGAATTGCTTCTCGGTTGTCCCCTTTTATTCCTGACCTTCAGCCTCTCCCGTTCGGCTGCCTTTTCCCTCCACCCATGATACGTTCTTCATACGTTCCTGAAGACAGCCTCCCTCTGTGCCTGGCTGCTATCTAGTTATCTCCACCCTTTACTGCTAATTTCTTAAAAGATGCGGTCATACCAGCTGCCTTTGCTCTTCTGTCCATCCCTTGATTCCCAGGACCACGTGGCTTCCAGTTCCCTGAAACTGGACTGAAGTCACCAAATCCGAGCAGACCTTTTTACCTCCTGCTTGATCTTTCTATGGCACTTTTCTCTGGTGGCCGTTACCACCATCAGAACCTCTTTCCCCAGCATGAAAACCCTCCCTGTGCGTTCAGGGTATGCACTCTTCTTCCTGGTCTCCTTCCAATGCTTCTCCGTCTGTCTCTCTGCTCTTCACACACCTCGCCTGCTGCTGTCCCAGGGCTTTGCCTAACTGCATGTTCGCGGACACGCCCACGGCTTCAGTTCTCACCTGAATTCATAGCTCTCGCCTCACCAGTCTCCTAAAGCAATATCCGAATCCCTCATTTACTTCTGGCTCCACTGGCTCAAATTTAACCTGCCCAGGTCCAGCTCTTGATCTCRCTGGCTCCTTGCTCTTCTGCGTTCCCTCTCTGGGGTCACATAACCTGCGTTCGCCCACTTGCCCGCCTAGAGCGCCTCAGCCGTCTTTGGAGCCTTCCTCTCCGTCTGCACACCTCTTCCGCAGGTCCTGTCTCTGCTGCTTCTCAGCTCTGCCGCTCCTGCCTTTCCTGCATGTCTACCCCAAACTTAATTGGTTTTCTTGTCTGTAGCCTCACTCACCTCCTGCCACACCCCACTTCCAAGACTGCCTTCCGTTCACCTGCCCTCCATCATCGTCTGCAGGATTAGGTGACATGCTTTGTGTCTACCATGATCTCGATCTGCCTCTCGGGCCCTTGACTTGAGCCCCAGGCAGTCGCCTGCCATTCCTGACATCTTCTGGGGACATCTCCTCATGTTCTGAGACTTGGCTCTAATATCAACTCCTCTGGAAGCCTTCTTGGGCCTCTTTGGGTGGATTCATCAGGTTCCCCACAGGATTCACATGTCCCCGTGCCTCTATTTTAATTCTGGTTCTTTCTACTACTAAACTATAAGTGTCGGAGTAGCTGAGCCCAAACTTTCTTCATTCATATATCTTGCCCGGGCACCGTGAATGTTTGAATTATTAGAGTTTATTTTCTAAGATCATTCCATACCTCGAGGGCTCAAGGAGCAAAGTCTTATATTTTATTTTATTTTTCCTCCAGCTCTTTGATATTGATGAGGATGGCTATATAACAAAGGAAGAGTTTTCTACCATTCTCCAGGCTTCCCTGGGGCTGCCCAACCTAGATGTTTCGGGTCTCTTCAAGGAGATTGCCCAAGGAGACTCTGTTTCCTATGGTGAGTAGGCAGTGGGAGCTCCTGGTTTACACGGAGGGTGTCTAGACCGTGAACCGGGGCTCAGACGGCAGTGTTTCCCTTAACTTATAGATTAATAGTAGCAATAACCGTGACCACGATGGTGGTGGAGGTRGTGGTGTGACAGCAGAAGCAATACCCGATTACTGACCACTGGGCATCTTGTGACCATTCTCTATACATTCACTCAATTAATCTTCACAGCAAGCCTGTTTAATCAGCGTTCTTAATTACTTTTATTTGACTGAGGACAAAGATCATCAAGCCAAAGAACATCAGAGCCTGGATTCAAAACCCAAGGTAGTTTGGCCTTAGAGCCTGCACTATTGACTGTACCTTGGTGCCTCTCAGATCTGCTGCATGTGGTAGCCATCAGCCTGGCATGACGACCCTGAACACATTCATGAAGCTGGTTGTAACTACATCCCCAGTAGAGGGTGTGGACCGAGGGACCAACAATGATAGGAGCTACACCTCGGTCGTTGATGTTGACACAGCAGCTTGTGTGAGCCTGCACATTCGTATCTCACGCACCTCTTTTGCAGCCCCTGTGCGGGAGGGAGCATCATGGAGGAAGGCCTGTGGTGGATGCCTGTGCCTTCTCCCGATGGCCCAGGTCCACAAGGCCATGCAGGGAGGGCTGAAGGACAGGGAGCTAGCTCCCCTGGCGTTTGCATTCCTGCCCCGGCTTTGATGTGGCCTGAGAGTTTGATGTGGCCGGAGAGTCTGGCTGGCTTATCTTCCCCAGTCTCCCCCTCAGGCCAGAGGGGCTCCTTAATTACTTCATTACCTCCCGTAGGATGCTCAGAGTTCAGTTTGCTGACTCCCTGGGATGCGAAAGCAGCTCATACCCGGCTTTTAACTACTGTTCTTTGGGCTGCCCCACATTTCCTTTTAGGTAATTAAGTGCCTAGGGCCCTTAACCTATTGAGTGCATTAAAAACACAGAAAGGATGAAATGGGGGGAGTCTATGTACCAGGGTGAAACTTCAGAAACCCGTGGATACTAATTCTGTGGTTGTTTTCCTTTCACAAGTAAAATCCTTTATTACTCTGAATTACCAAATTTTGAAAAACTATTCAGCATAAGTATTTCAAAAGAAAATAATACTAAAAATGATTTGTCCTTTTAGGGAAGTATGCTTTGTTTTATGAAGTTCAGTCATTTTTTTTTTCTTTTCAGAATACACAGAATGTCTCTTTCCCCAATATTGTACAAGTCTAGTTTTTTTAGGAATGTTTGAGGTACTTGATCATTTCATTTTAAAAATAGATATTGACATGTGTCATGAATGTGATCCCTTAAACTCTTTTTGGTTTTCCATTAGTCAAAACCCAAATTCCGCCTAGCCAACTGGAAATGAGATCCTCTTTAAGGCCACTGATGTCCCAACAGATGATCTTAATCTTTTGAACTTTAGTTCAAGTCTTAAATTGAAGTTCTTTCTGTAAATCCACTGTCAAGCTCGGGTACCCTGAAAGTCACTTAGTCCTCTTCTCCATCAGCAAAATAGACTCACATCGAATAGGGTAGAGAAACTTCAAACTCGAGGGCAAAATTGTATTTTACGAAACCCTAGCTCAGTAGAGTCTTAAGATTCAAATCCTGGTAGTTACCTCAGTAAGCCTTCTACACCTCTGTATCAGCTCTTAAATCTAAAACACTTGATAAAAAAGAGAAAAAAACTCCACTCCTCAGAGGTCTTATTCCATATGCCTTCCAAGCCGTTGTCAATGATAAGCCAGGGCTCAGCTTTTCAAGATTGATCTTTCTATACCAGAGTTAAGGGCTAAAATAGCTTTCAAAACCACTAATAATAAAAAATCCTGGGTAACAATTCGAAAAAATATTATTACTGAAAGAAATAGTTTAAAAGTTATAAAAATCATTTTTATTACTCAAAATACAGAAAATGAAATAAAACATAGAACAAAATGAAGTTTTATAAAGCAAACACCCACGTAATTACCATTCTGATCAAGAAATAGAGCTTTTCCAGAATCCCAGAACCCTATGTGCCCCTTCCCAACCACAACCCCTTCCTCACTTGTAAAGGAGGGGCCTGTCGCCCAGACTTTAAAGGGCGCAGTGGCACAGGAGGTCGAGGTAGGAGGATCAAGAGTTCAAAGCCAGCCTCAGCAACGTAGCAAGACCCTGTCTCTAAATACAACATAAAAAGAGCTGGCGATGTGGCTCAGTGGTTGAGTGCCCCTGGGTTCAATCCCCAGTGCTAAAAAGAAGAAAAAGGAGGGGGGCATCTCTGAGCTGGGCACTGAGCACCCATAGTCTCTGCTCCTCAGAAGGCCAAGGGAGGAGAATGGCCTGAGTTGGGAGCCTGAGATCAGCCTGGGCATCATAGGGAGTCAACAGACAGGAAGTCTCTGCCCTGCTTTACCATTGCACCRCAGATGTGTGCTTCTTTAAATACTGTATTTTAGTCTTGTCTACGTTTTTTGAACTTCATATAAATGGACTCTTACAATATGTATTCTTTTGTATCTGGCTTTTTTCAATCAGTATTACCCTTTTAAGATTCACCCACATGTTTTTGTCACATGGCTATTCATCATTGCTGTATAATATTTATTATGTTCCATGAACATAAAATTTATCAGTTTCTGCTGTTGATAGACCTTTGAGTTATTTCCATTTTTTTACCTATTATGAATAATGTTGCTATGAACATTCTCCTACATGTCCCCAAGAACACCATTTGYACAGATTTCTCTGGGCAGTGTATCTAAGAATATAATTAATGCATCACAGAGTACGTGCATCTTCACGTTGAGTAGCTAATGGGAAACTGTCTTCCAAAGGGATGGATAAATTATGTTCCCCTGAGCCATGTGTGCAAGTGGAGCGACAGAGTTTTCCAACTGTATGATTAAAGTCCTTTGTTAATCTACATCCTATCGAAAGAAGGTTCACCCAATTGATTGGATTTTCTTTCCTCCTCTTCCAGAGGAATTCAAACGTTTTGCCTTAAGACATCCAGAATATGCTAAGATATTTACAACGTACTTAGACCTCCAGACAAGCCATGTGTACTCACTGCCCAGGGAAGTCCACACAGCTGCCTCGGTTGCAAGTAATAAAGTCTGTCCTGAAGATCATGAAGATAGGACCTCGGACAAAAAAGATGACTGAAAGCAGCACCCCATGAAGAATATTGAAAGTATAAAAGCATTTATTGATAGTATTTCCAATGGGCATGTGAGGAATGATATTTAAAAYGGGAAGCTTTTTTATACACATGATAAGATTTCTTACTAAAAATGCTTTTATTAACTAGCAGATATGAAGTGGCATTCCTTCTCTTCTTTGTTATATTATGCTTTACTGGTTTGTTTGCCAGTGATAAATACTGTATATTTTTATGGATTTTCCAGTTTCATTAGCGTAAYCAAATGAATACACTGGCAATCCTAGTTACTGGTCAGCAATAATCAACACTGGAAAGAGTTTTAAAAAATACAAACACTGTTTAATCCACTTTCCTCTAAAAACCAGTAATACTGTGTTTCTCTAATTCCTTTCCTTTCTGAAAATAAGAAGAGTCTGAGAAGCATGGCAAAATGTTGTATCTTTGCACTCCACAGATTCATTTTTTCATCTAAATTTCGTTTCTTGGATCACGGACTATGGGGAGGGAGGGCTCATTTTCTCTTTAACACGCATCTCTGTTGCAGATTTCTTTCAACCCACTTCTAAGGAAATCATATCTTTTTACGTGATCTACAGGGTTAGGACTTGTTTGAAAGCTGACTGCTGTGGCCAGAGGCTAGGTGGGAATCGCTGTGATTGAAGGGAACATTGATTGTCTAATGAGAAAATGAATTGTTTGTCACAGAGTTGAATTTAATTTGGATTGGATGGTTCAGAAGGTAGCACTTGTCTGATAAATAAATCAGATTGGTTCTATTTATGTGATAATAGAATTAATATATTTTATCATCCAAGAAGGAGTTTTATTTGTTAAGTGTCTTCTCCAATTTTAGAGCTTGTCTGAAATATCTACATGGAAAGCAGGAAGCTTCCAAAGTGTCACTAAATGCCAGAGAATTGAAAAACCTACTTTATTAATGCAAAACCACAGTTTATGCCCCAGGCAGGAATCCAGTGGTCACATTTCTCCTCCAGGTTAAGCAATAATTTCCCTGAAGTGCCATTTGTATTAGGTCTCATGTATGCATATTGCTAGTATCACTTATGTTTGAGATTTTGAACAAAGACCAATTTATTAAAATAATGTACATAAATAGTTTGTTCTTATTCTGAATTCAGCCTTTGACACCAAGCTCTTTGTTTTGGCTATGTTTCAGAATGTATTAATGATTCACCCCCCAAGCTATTTTGTAAAAGTCATTTTTGAAGCTGAGAAGTATCATGAGAATGTCAGAGATTATATTTGATCAAGTATCACCATTTTAAACTAGTTTTTACATAGTAAGCAGTTAGTTTTCTAAATTGATGGGTAAATATGTACTTGGGTAACTGAACACCAGAAAATTTTATCTATAAGTAAATGTAATTATTTACTTCTTGTATGTTGAAAGCATTTAGAAAAGGTGTTAAGGTGAGTGGAAACAATTGCTTAGGTGAAATAATTACTAAATAATTTTAATAGTGTCTGTCATATGTGATGAATGTATGTAATACTCAGGTACCATGATATGTTGTCATGGAAAAAAACACCTAATTTTTATTAATCATTAAAGAATAGCATTATAAATTAAAGGCTTTCTTTCTGTAGGGCTTTTAAAAATGATCCTATCATTTTCCTGTTTTAAAATAATGGTTTATGCTCATTACTTCCACTTTTGAATGTAATGTTTCTATTTTATGATTCTGTTGCTGAATAAACCAACTTGCCACAGTAAACATTCTTGACTTTGCCGTTTTGCCGCCATGTACTATGCTTCTTAATATCATGTGTGAGATGTGTTTGCACTTGGAGGAGTTGATGAGTCATTTTATTTGCATTTTAACTTCATGAAATGTCAGACGTGGTAAAAACTCATTACCCCCAAGAAGCAATCCTTATTATTCATACAGAACTTGGCTTTGCAGGGGTTGGATGTGCCCCAACACAGGCTGTGGTCAGCAGTCATCACAACTGGACAGGCCTCTCCTTGTGTCCCTCTTAACAGTGACTTCTTCCAGAAACACTTTTCTCCTCTTAAGATTTAAAGTGAAGAATTAAGTTTATTAAATCTGTTAAATGCTCTGGTTTTATATACTAATTGGGGGAGGGTATGTCACTGCATAATTGTCATAGATTTTATGCCAAATTTTTTGCAGAAAGGTAAGGCATGACCATTATGTGAAGTTTTTTTTTTTTTTTAATTATACTGGTATTACTTAAAAGCCATTTATTACTAAGCTGTCTTTGGTGCAAGGTTAGGATGTAAGGAATACTTGTGAATATACTTTAATGCCAGGGTGACAATTATGCAGCATGAAATGCCCTGTGCTTTCTTTGAAGAGAGAAATACTAGGCCCTAAAATCTATAAATCAGAAAAATTTCAGTCCAAACAGTTCTATTGAAAGATAATGACTTTGGAGACTTACAGACAAGGGTGCTTGTATTATGCATGTTTAAACTTCCTTTTCGACTTTTGGCCTTTTGGAGACAGCATGTGCCAGTCCCTGGTGGTTCCTCTGAGGGAGGAGACTGCCTCCCTTTCAGAAGGCTCAGCTCTGCTCTCTGCATGCGGTTCCCAGACTCAGGAACCCTCCTCTTCAGACTCTTCAAATGCAAGGTGGTTAGTTGAAGGTAATTATTGGGATCGATGGGCTCTCTACTACAAAGGTCCTTGGATATTTGTGTTTTGTATAGCAATCAGCAAAGAAGATCAAAACATACTTAAGATACCATTCCTTAGGAAGAGAACTTGCTTACAATCTTGGGCTTTTTCTCTTTCCTACTCACTTGGATAAACTTTCTTATTTGTTTTTGTTGAATCATTACATCGGCATATTAATTAAATGCTCTGTTACTGCTTGATGGGATGAAGGTGCTCCCAGAGTTCTTGATACATATTCATTACACATATCACAAGCTCTGGTAGAAAACTTGGAAGAGTCCTGGTCCTTTTTATCCCATTTAATGTAAGTCTTGRGTCTAGGTAACCATTCTCTCCCAGMACAGTTCCCAAGTATCTGTGTGGATATCCACATATTCTAACMATTTATTTCCATTGCATTTTGATACTCAGCTTGTTGGTTTTTGCAATATTAGCTGCATCATTTTCTTATCGTTACTAGAAAAGAATCRATGCATGTTAGAAAAGAGAAAAAGTGGAGAAAAGAATAAACAAAAAAAATCACATTTACTTCTACCACCTTAAATCAATTGTTATTATACATTTAGCATATTTTATCTCACCTCTGTCTTGATGTTCTTGCATTCTCAAAATAACATTGTATGTGCTGAATAATGTCCTCTTTTTTACTTGTACAATAACTTCAATGTAATCAAAATTCTTTAAAATCTTTAAAATTCCAAAATAAATTTTAGAATTAATAAATAAAATAAATTCTAAAATTAATTTTAGAAATCTATAGAAATTCTTTAATGTCATATTCTTTAKAAATTTTAAAAATTCTAAAGTAAATCTTAAAAATACCTAATATTTCTTCGGAAATCTATAACACATGTACATATATGTATATGTAACTGTATGTAACATTCATCTAATACTGAATACAGGAGTTAGATTTTCATTTTGGGAGTATTAAAAACATACAAGTCAATACTCCATAGTAATTCACAATTAGAAATAGTTTGCTAAGTGACTTATTTATACTTTGTCAATGTTAAGATAATCTACTAAAGATTTTGTAATTGTTAAAATTTATTTTAAATGARTTTTATTACAGGAAAAAATGAATTATCCTAGATTACATAGAGTATGATGATTTAAACTTCATGAAGGGATTAAAGGTAAGCAGATTTTATCTTTTTATAATATTTATTTTCCCCTTGTAAAAGTAACACAAACTGTAATAATAGCTACCATTTGAAGCACTCGCTCTGTATCACTCATTGTGCTAAGTGATTTACAGAAACAACTCACTTGAACACTCAGTGAAGCAYAGATATTTTTCTCCCTGATTTTATTTGACAAAATTTAGAACTGTTCCTAGGTCATTCATTGAATGGAAGAGCTTAGAATTAAACCAAATTTTGCCTGATTCCAGAGGCAATACTGTTAACCAAGTTTATAAAGCAGCATGCTTTATAGAATTTATGGATTTACATCTGCCAAGTATTTTCTTACTTAAGGGTTCCAGATATCGAATGTTGACTTGGTTCTTAAATGGAAGAGAGCAGAGGTGGTTCAGAGGGTTCTGAGAWCAGCGGTGGAGATGGGAACAAGACTGAAAAACCACAGTCCAGTGAGGGTGACACTCCTGACCCTCTGTGGCCCAGGCAAGGTCAGCTGAAGATCCTGTGACCTTCCCATTAGGATAAAGTCCAGGTCACTCTGAATCCAAAGGAAGGTGAACTTCAGGATACTACGCTAATCGTCTTCCTTGTGGTGCAGCATGAATGGTCCCTTCCTGTCCTGGCTTTTTTAGTCACACCTCTGCTTTCAGAATAAGTGTGTAATCAATAAAGTAGAATTTGAGGGCTGAGGACAAAGTCAAAATTGCAGTGAGGTCCTTCATCTTCAGCTGTTGGGGAATATCTTCATTTGCTGCTTCTAATTTTCCCCCTCTCATCAATTCTCTTGGCTTGGAGAAAGCACAATGACCATTCCAGAGCATAATCCAGGTATCTCTTCTCCAGTCAGGTTKTTTTTTTTTTTTTAACCCCCAAAGCCTATCCATTGCTACTTGGATAACATCCAGATACTCGCCATRGCCTACAAAGCCCTGTATGGTCAGGCTTCAGCTTGCAGACTAGATCTCGGCTGCTTTTCAAAATCCCCATCACGGAACTCCCAACATCAGATCTTTCTTTCTCTCAAATTGGCTAAGCCCAATTCCAGCCTCAGTCTATTCTTCTGTTCCTCAGCAGGCATGCTCTTTCCCCAAGATTTTCACCCCACTTTCTCTTCTTTCATTTTTATGTAGTAGCTTTATTGGAATATAATTYGCCCATTTATAGTATATAATTTAGTGTATTTATTTAACAATCACTACTGTCTAATTTTAGAACATTTTCATCTGCAGATTTTAAATCAAATGTCATATCATCAAATAGGAATTACCCATCATGGATCAGAAAGCCTACTGTGTTTCTACAGACATTCTCAATCCTATTACCTTTCTTGTTATTGTACTTAAAATTATCTGGAATTATTTTCCGGTTGCATGCAAACTTAARTTATTACATCCTTGTACGTAAAAGGTTCCCCAATACATAGTGWGCACTCAATATTTGATGAATGAATGAATGATAGCATCATTGCTTCTGCTTCTTGTGTGTCCTATGCTGTAAGTATAGAGAAAATCTTTACAGCAAACTTGAAAACCTGGAGTTATGATTTCTA